GTTGAATACGAGTGTGTGATGCCAAACGATATGTATTTTTTGTTGAGATTATACGTTAAGTGTAGAGAGCACGGACTCTCAAATAGTTTGTATTGGAAAATGGAAGAGTCAATTCCCCGTTTCAATAATTATATAAATGCCTAGTATATGATGAAATGCCAACTTTCCTATATTATGGCAGAGATTGTGCCGTTTGATCCGTGTAAGCGAATACCTATTAACTGCTAAAAACAGAGATTTCCTTGAATTTAAATGTATGATATAATTATAACTATATATATATATATATATAATTATATCATGAGTGAATAATAAGAGACTAATTAATTAAATATTAATATCTATCTATTATTATTCACTCCTGATTATATTATATATAAGAAAGAACGGATTCTTACAAATTGCAATGGAAGAATGATGTATACATGTCTACGCCGTTTGTCGGCGCTAGTGTCGCGTTGAATACCAGTATCATGATGACAAACAATACCAGTTTTGTTGATGTCATACGATAAATATTGAGAATACAGAGTCGGGAGTAGTTAGACATAAAAAATGAAACCCAAATATTTCCCATTTTAATAATTACAATTGCCCAGCCTTGCTGCCTTCCCTATAACACCCTCACGAACACACGTACTCAAGCACGCACGCTCGAACGCAAGTACCCGCAATACGCACGCCCGCACGCACGCGCACACACACACACGCACACACTTATATGTATATATATATAAATATATATATATATATATTGTAATATGTATTATTGTATTCTAAACAGCGCATGATGAAAATCGTCTCTGCGGTGCCACGTACTGCCCCTGCGGGTGTGGTTGGGGGAGGCAGCAAGGGGGCTCTCCCCGACAAATTATGAACACCAAGAATATGAGTAATAGAAGTATTTAACCCTGAAATCAACGTAAAATAATGGATTATTCCGACTCCATTTAACCCAATCATATCCCATTCGCGGTTTATTTCAGGAACCCACCAATTGAGCTATGTCGACAACCGTTACGACCTGATTTTGGTCAAGAAATTATGTCCCCACAATATACTTTAATCTCGCTACGTCCTGAGCTGTAATCCATCAGCTCTCTGGAAGAACCACAATTCACAAACCATCAGCGACGACGTGATTGAAATAGATATCGTGAGAAATTCGATACGAACTGTTTTGTAACATTAAACTCACAACGAATAATAATTTATTATTACTGCCGTAAACAGGAAATACATCTCAACGTCGTTGCTCATATACGGTTAATACGGTTATAACGTAACCGATTAACAAGTTATCGTTTCATCAGATGCATGTATAACCATGCAGTCAACTGCACACACGGATCCATATCACGTCATTTTCTCCATGGATGTCGTTTCATCATAATATATTGCATTCTTTGTCTACGCACTTCAATCTCTCTATCAGCCAGGCTACATATATAGAGCACTACATGGATACGTTGACTGTAAATTTCATATATCTAGATGATGCGATGCATGCGTGTTAATGGTGATGCTGTAGGAAAAGGACGAGCTCGAAACACTCTTATATACGATTGACAGCAGCATAAATCTCATTCACCGCCATAATACATCACGCTAATCCAACAGCACCAACACGTTATAATGCAAATGTAAAAATGTAATGTACATCGTGCGAAAAGGTTTGGAAAAGCATCGATGTAACTTCTGCGAATCCAATACTTATTGTTATCCCTATATTCACAAGGTGTAAGCTGAAGTGATAAAACACAACCACCAGGGTGAAACGACAGGAAGTGCAGCACACGAAGGCTAATGCAATCGTCAATGGTGATCGTGCGTGAATATTCTTTAACCATTATGCAAATGTGCGTCAAGCCGAATTAATGCAAACCAGAAATAAACGACAGTTACAATTCCAAACTGTACACATTATGCATAGAACTATGGTAATATGAACAAACATCTAGTTTATAGTATTTGTGTAAGCACTGTAATATGCTTAGCATTTATGCAAACATTTTGAACAATGCAAACTGCATATACGAAGACGCAAGATTAAATTAACTCTCTTCCACTGCCGAGAGCCATTGTAAAACTTGCTGGAGCAGCACCATACGAGACCACTACCACGCACGCACTGCGTGCTTATTCAATATTTACATCTTTGCGAAATGGTATGCTAAATCAAATAGCATTTCTCAGGCAATTTTTGCCGTCCCTTCTTTTATGAACGGGAAGGTTAATCGTCACACGATTACAAATCAAAGCACTAGCTAATGAATCATTGTTAGTTGTAATAATTAGGACACGGAGGCGCTTAACCGTTTACTGAAAATTGCGGCTTCACGATCAGACGTGCAGCGATTCACTGAAATAGTTGGTATAGTTTTGATATATGACAAAATTATGATCAAGAGCTAATAATATATGTATTATTAGTTCTTAATATGATCATAGTATGACAGGTATTATGTAGTATGTAGGAACCATGACTGCTTGGTATCGCCATAGTTAAAAGGGACGGCAACGTTGCTCCAACACGCTTTACAAGTAAAATCATAGATGAGCTTCATTAACGAAACGCTAATCTAGCATTCTGTCTAGAAATAAGTGCTTACCATTTTTTAATATATGCATATAATTAAAGTGACCATCAGTACGTTTTAACAAACAGCTGACGTACTGAAATAAAATATCACTGACAAAAAGGGTATCACATTTCGTTAGTTAAACAAATCAAAATGGGCGACCCATTAGCAAAAGCAAATATTGCCGAACCAAAATAAAATAGAGAATATCACTTAAATAATAACCGCGTCACAACTGAATGTAGTAATGCGTGTTAATGAACGCATCGCAAATTCATTGCAAGAGTGTAAGATCGACTTATTTATTAAAAAAACGTTCTGAAGCACTTTACACCTATTTCATTTATGGTGAGAGACTTGGGGTGGTCTTAGCTCTCTGCGACGGGTTACAAAGAAAGTCTTCTACTGTACAATTGTTATAGATTATTATATCTATCATCATTCAGTCACCGTAGTGAAATTAGAGAGACCTATTCAGAGATCAGGATCGATGACGTATATTGCTGTACATTGTGTCAATGTCCCGGTCGTCCGAGATGGACTGTTTTGTGAATCATGAAAGATAACAAATTCACTGCTATTTTAATTATCTGCACGCATTTTCCTCGAGCGAGACATAGGCCTATGTCATTTTATTAATGACACATAGGATGTATATATATATATATATATATATATGCTAAAAGATTATATACACGGGAACATTATTATGGTGGGGGTCGGGTCATTTATTAAGTTACGTATGTTGACTGTTGAGCGGATATCATAACGGCCTATATTTTAGTATACATATTTTATACATAATATAGTATATTGATGAATTCAACACTCTGTATTACAATCTACACGAGTTACTTCTATAATGACGCCTCATACCGAAAGAGCAAATAGACGGACACTATATACCTAACTTTGTTACTGGTTTAATTGCGTATCATGTGTATGGTAAAGTAGGGTCGGTACTGTACGGTACGATAGGGCATTACAAGTAGACCTATCAGGAGTGTAAAATAATAGACTATTATATTCTATAATATATACTATAATAGACATGTATATATATATATAGATATATAGATATAGATATGTATGGTATAGACTATAATAGTCTATTATTATACACTCCACATAGTTCATATGCATGTAGCGCCATCTATTGAGCAGTGTAGCATCAACATGAATGCAAACGAAATGAAAACGAAATGCCCAACGTGTATGTTTACGTAATAATAATGGGGGAGCAATTGAAAAGTTATAGCGCAACATTCGTAGTGAAGACATGCTTCATATCGAGCAGATTGTTAGGTAATAAATTAAGAACGGAATTGTCGTGCTCTTTGCTGCTAGGTGCAATAAATGAGAATTATAGGAATGACAATTCAACTCCATAATGAATTCCATGATGTCAAAATTGCTACCATAATTATTTTCTGTCGCTCAGAACGTTCAACTATATGTTAGAATTACTAGCCTTAGATTGCTTTATACACAGCACCAGTAAATAATACTTACATCATTGAATCTTGCATTTGAACTAGAACCTTATTATATAGCATACGTTTCTGTATTCCAAACTGGCTGCTCAATCTTTCTATATTGTATTCATAGGCCTAAATATATCGTTTATAATAGCAAAGCTTAGGACTCCGTGCCCAAAAATAACTTCAGAAATATATTATAAACGCTCTGGATGTGAAGTTTTCAAAAAGCAAGACAGACGGTGCGCCGCGGTTTCAGTAAGAAATATCGACTTAAAGGCTAAAAGCACTAGCCGTCTAGTAGCGTTCGGGAGAGCAGAGTTAGCAACGTACACGCTTTCGTACACCGTCTGTGCTGAATCTTGGACTTTTCAGACTTAAAGTCTATGGTGGTCGAGGCATCGACAATACAGATAATGAGCTAAGGTCAACGAAACTGTCAATCAAGGGCACTTACTAGCCTGTACATTTACTGCCCTCAAAACAGTTGTAGCCCGGGGGGCACTCCCTACCAAATAGGGTAGGTATGTGCCACTTGAGAGATGGAATTGGGGGGCTCCGGTACTAACGCAGCACATCAAAATGGGGGGCTCCGGAACGTGCGGAAAAAAGTAGAACATTTGCGCAGGGACGGGAAATATGTGAAACGGAGGGTCTCCGGAAATATGTGAAAAGGAGGGTCTCCGGTGCGGAAAAAGTAGGATCTATGCTCCGGGACAGGAAATATGTGAAAAGGAGGGTATCCGGTGCGGAAAAAAGTAGGACCTATTCGTAAACTCATGATCGACAGAGGGCGCTGAATTACTCTGGTTATTGTTATACGGGGCGCTGGTTTATGAAAGCAAACGGATAACGCAACTAACATACTTGCTTTCGCAGCCGAATCCTGCTTAAACCATGCTATGGTACTTGACTTCGCAAATATGATTTCATATTCATCCAAGGTGCAAAAGGTGACAACGTACCTACGTGCCCGCGTGCGCGCATGTACAACGAAACACCATAATCGGTTACAAAATTGCCAAGCGCAATTCAAGGCATTCTACAATAAAGACAAGACTTAGTGAAGTCAACGTCTGATACTGCTGTGTAGCCTGCGGCTAGGTGAACCTTAAACATAGAAGCAGTACGGCGATACTATATGCATGAACGTATTCGGCTGATGAGACGCGGGCATGTGCTTCAAGTGCTCCACAGCTCCCGTAGGTTGCGTGAAGGGCAGGTGGTTTCTCTATCCCCGACGCGAATCGTTGATATTCCGTCACGCTCTTCACCGAGTTGAATCACAATCTGCAATAGATTCTTGTGTTCGACACGCTTATGCTACTTTCAAACGAAAATGCAGTTCATAGCGACTATATTCTGACCTTCGCAAGTAGAATGAGAATGATTTTAAATGCGAGCGAATGAAATGCTCGGTGATTTCTTCAGGAGCGGGTTGAAGTCCTTTGACCTTTGTAGATACTTCTATTATAACGTAGCTGCGGCTGATATATTTATATTACTGACAAAACAATACGCGTCTATGGGGCAAGGGGCTCCTTCTTGTTTTCGTTTTCTGTGGATACTTACCTGTTCCCTAGGTTCTATGGTAGATTTATATGCATGCGCGCAACGATTTCTATACCTAATTTGGTCTATCTCTATCGATTCGATTTTGCAATGAAAAATTTCCCGAGAACGTCATCTCTAGTGCTGCATACAATATATATATATATATATATATGTGTGTGTGTGTGTGTGTGTGTGTGTGTGTGTGTGTGTGTGTGTGTGTGTGTGCGTGCGTGCGTGCGTGCGTCCGTGTGCGTGCGTGGGTGCGTGCGTGGGTACGCACCTGCTCACGACTCAGCCTTAAGTCGATTCCACCGTCGCTTAGCTGTATGCTTTTAGTAACCTTCATCACACGCTCGCCTGGAAAGATGCGGACAGCGCAACCAGCCGGGAAGTATCCCTGCTGACCATTGCACCGACCCCGCCACCACTCTGCATCCGACATGTCCATCACCACCACCTTACTGCCACTTCTGTAAGATAAGAAAATTAACGGTTGCAATTAAAATTAATTTTATATAATTAAATAATTTATTGCGGTCATCGCTTTTGCTATTTTGTTCGTAAAGAACAGATTGCTGCGCTTTGTTTTCATTGTTTGCAGTAGTTCCACGAGCCTTCGGCCATCTTGTATCATATCATCATTGATAACGGATCGAATTCTTGCAATTACTTGTGAACGTATGTAAATAATGTAATAGACGAGATAGCACCCGTGTATGCAATGCAGCGCGCGCGCGTGTGTGTGTTTGTGTGTGTTCTTGTGCAAGAACAGTTATTTCATCACCTGAATTCTATCTCGTCACGCCGGCCCTCGCCTTTGAAGTCCCTGATCGTCACATATAGACTTTGAGCAGCCTGCCTCTGGTAAGACTTCTGAAACAAGTCAGCTGATCAGACGATCGACTGACATACGCATTTGGCCGCAAGCTACAATTGATAGACAGTTTATAGTTTCAGGGCGTTGTGGCCATGTTGCGGTGGCCATGTTTACAAATTCTGCATAATTCGCAAAGAAGAACACAGGAAAAGATTCGACTGTCATCGATGTGTTTGAACGCGAACAATTTGACGAACGCGCAGATTATTTACATAATACTGAACGACTACGTCATTTACGTCTATATGGCGAAGATAAGGGACCCACAAACAAACACGTATTCGAGCTCAGCCGCGACTCACTGGTGAGCCTCCTAGCGGTGAAGCAGACGATGCTGAACTGAGCGACTTTTCAGTATCGTCAGGGATATCTAATGAGTCTCCTTTGGCACGCTGCAACCTTCCTCGGCTGTGCTGACCGTGGGTGGGACTGTCCGGGGCTACAAGACAACATGCGCTGTTCATACTTTGACTTGAGTTGATTTCACTATTGACAGCGGAATATGTTTAGATTTGTCGAATCACGTGTTTAAATCTTAATAAGTCATTTTTCATACGTGAACTTATCGGAGCTAGGTAAACTGCGAAGTGTTTGCTGGATAAATAAGAATGTAGCCATACGAATACTTGGACATTATTACAGGTGTTTAGCTTTAGTACAATGGTAACTATCACAGACTGAACACGGTCAAGAACGGTGCACGGTACACGCCTTAACACCAAGCAAGTATAAGTAAGCGCAACACCACGATCACCACGTACGCACACAACGTGAGAAATCTATACATATATCACCGACGGATAGATCCACGAAGAGAAGCAGTGAGTGAGTGAGTAAGTGAGTAAGTGAGTGAGTGAGTGAGTGAGACAGCACACAAAACACGTACAGAGTCACGAGATAGATTCCCGTCCGCTAGTATTGCACTGCGAGTATGCACGAGTGCTGTTTACTACTACTGCCTGTGAATAGATGTGAAATAATTAATAGTATTGGGGCGAGCTAGGTGTGTCAGCAATAGCTTCATACGTGCATCGACGAATTCAAAGTAGCCCGAGAAATAGAGTATTACAATTGTTGCTTATGTTGAGGCTTGTTTATAAATTATGCTATAGTGAAAATATGTTTGGTAACTTGATAGTAACTTGAGGGATTACCGTTACAACTGGCTTTCAGACAGACCACCATAGTAATTGTTTAATTGTAGTGGATAACCCCCTAAAATCTTTCCTATTTCACATGCGGTTATTGCTGTTGTAGCGATACGTTCTCAAACATACGCTGTTATGTATTTAACACTAAAGCAAACTGAGTGCAAAGAATTTGCAGCGAAACGCATTGCTGCAATCACCCAGACATTAGTTTCGTATGGGCAAGATTGGTTCTACCTTCAACAACTGAACTGGTGAACGATGTTGCTAGATTCACACTGACCATGCACAGTTTGCAACCACCTATAGAACTAGCGTGTGTGCGTGTACGTGTGCGCGTGCGTGCCTGCGTGCGTATGTAGGAGCCATGTGTGCGTGCGTGCGAGCGTTTCCCCTGTACGTACGCTTGTACGGGTGCGTGTATATGCGGTCGTGTCGGGTCATTTAAATAGACAAATACAGAGAGATAGATACACGTATAAGCGCTACATCGACCACCATTCATGCATACACACAGCGGAAAACACAGTGATACGTGACACACGACGACTGTGCTTGTACACAGCTGATATCAAGAGCTAATAATACCTAGGTATTATTAACTCTTGCTGATATTTACAGTAGCTGCACGAGGGACGACCCCCACCGATGACGTGTCGCAAGTGATCCTTGCTATTAGGGTTGTCGAGAGAGAAGCTTTTCATGCGTATGTTTAATTTTTGGCGACGACCTCTTGTTGGGCTGTGCGGGGCTAGACGAGAAATGGTAACAAAGTAAAGCAATGCTTTAATGGATATGTATGTATACGTGGCTCGATTCAAACGCTGCCCGTTCGCCCACGACGCATGCGCGATGTCCGTACGACAACCAACGCTGAGCCACTAGGGTTAGTACCGAGTCTAAAAAGAAGAATTCATCTTTAATGTTATCACGATTTAAAATTTAAATAGTACATTCGGTATTTGATTACCCCTTTGCAGCTAACATCCGTTTAATGCGCAGCATTCCGCGGAGGAGTTAACAGCAACGAAAGCGTGTATTAGTAAGCAAACACTCAATTACTTTCGAAATCACTGTTGCCACGATTCACACAACAACGCGCCATGTGAATACCAATTGCACATTTCAGCAGATTTCATAACGATAATCTGCGTACATTCTCCGCATTCTACAAGCAGAAATCAGCAAAGCGGCTAGAAGTGATAAATTCGTAGATAGAAAACGACCGCAAGCATGCAACGCAAAGTGTCTCAGGAAAACCTGAGCAAACGAGGCATCAGTAGAAAGTCTGAAAACTCTAGAAATACTCAAGCCTTCAAAACCGAACCCAAGATGTTAGCATACGAGCAATCAGAAAGCTTGTTAGCGCCGCCGTCGCCGCCGATGACGACGACGAGATGGGCATATAATAGCAAACTGCACACACAGCAACACAAAACGGAATTTACACTGTTCCCGTGCACGCAACGACGAATCCTCCTCCTGCGAAAAATCTTTAGATAGCGAAGGATGGTGAAGCTGGGTAGAGCCCAGGCGGCCATGATCGTCGTTGGGGTCATGGTATAGACTACTGGACGGATGAAACGGGTCATATTCGCCGAAATCTCCAGGATCTGCGTACCGGACGTTGGAAAACAGACAGGCGTGGTCAAGTATGGATAGCCGCGATTTCGTCGACCGAGGTTGTCTTATTCACAAACTGTTTGCTTTGAGGGAAAACCTACACTAAATACTTGATTATCTTGCCGTTATCAAGAGCCGATGACAAAGTTGCTATCTCGTATATCCTTGCGGCTATAGAAGAGCATACATTTTGTGTTTTATATCGCGGCTGTTGGAATGTCTTTTCGTTTGGAACGTTCGAATAAAGAATAAAAACGCTGCATGTCTATCAGCATCAGTGTGACATGGAGTGGAATCCAAGTTTCGGATTACACATACACAGTAGTGTAGTAGTGTCATTTCTAACATGTACATGCCACTGGTTAATATCACGTACCTAAATTATAGTCTAACCCTTGCGACGATATAAACATGCTACGACCTGACACGATCCGACAATATAACAACTTTTGTGAACACAACAATTGGTATATATATATATATATATATATATATATATATATATATATATATATATATATATATATTGTAATATGTATTATTGTATTCTAAACAGCGCATGATGAAAATCGTCTCTGCGGTGCCACGTACTGCCCCTGCGGGTGTGGTTGGGGGAGGCAGCAAGGGGGCTCTCCCCGACAAATTATGAACACCAAGAATATGAGTAATAGAAGTATTTAACCCTGAAATCAACGTAAAATAATGGATTATTCCGACTCCATTTAACCCAATCATATCCCATTCGCGGTTTATTTCAGGAACCCACCAATTGAGCTATGTCGACAACCGTTACGACCTGATTTTGGTCAAGAAATTATGTCCCCACAATATACTTTAATCTCGCTACGTCCTGAGCTGTAATCCATCAGCTCTCTGGAAGAACCACAATTCACAAACCATCAGCGACGACGTGATTGAAATAGATATCGTGAGAAATTCGATACGAACTGTTTTGTAACATTAAACTCACAACGAATAATAATTTATTATTACTGCCGTAAACAGGAAATACATCTCAACGTCGTTGCTCATATACGGTTAATACGGTTATAACGTAACCGATTAACAAGTTATCGTTTCATCAGATGCATGTATAACCATGCAGTCAACTGCACACACGGATCCATATCACGTCATTTTCTCCATGGATGTCGTTTCATCATAATATATTGCATTCTTTGTCTACGCACTTCAATCTCTCTATCAGCCAGGCTACATATATAGAGCACTACATGGATACGTTGACTGTAAATTTCATATATCTAGATGATGCGATGCATGCGTGTTAATGGTGATGCTGTAGGAAAAGGACGAGCTCGAAACACTCTTATATACGATTGACAGCAGCATAAATCTCATTCACCGCCATAATACATCACGCTAATCCAACAGCACCAACACGTTATAATGCAAATGTAAAAATGTAATGTACATCGTGCGAAAAGGTTTGGAAAAGCATCGATGTAACTTCTGCGAATCCAATACTTATTGTTATCCCTATATTCACAAGGTGTAAGCTGAAGTGATAAAACACAACCACCAGGGTGAAACGACAGGAAGTGCAGCACACGAAGGCTAATGCAATCGTCAATGGTGATCGTGCGTGAATATTCTTTAACCATTATGCAAATGTGCGTCAAGCCGAATTAATGCAAACCAGAAATAAACGACAGTTACAATTCCAAACTGTACACATTATGCATAGAACTATGGTAATATGAACAAACATCTAGTTTATAGTATTTGTGTAAGCACTGTAATATGCTTAGCATTTATGCAAACATTTTGAACAATGCAAACTGCATATACGAAGACGCAAGATTAAATTAACTCTCTTCCACTGCCGAGAGCCATTGTAAAACTTGCTGGAGCAGCACCATACGAGACCACTACCACGCACGCACTGCGTGCTTATTCAATATTTACATCTTTGCGAAATGGTATGCTAAATCAAATAGCATTTCTCAGGCAATTTTTGCCGTCCCTTCTTTTATGAACGGGAAGGTTAATCGTCACACGATTACAAATCAAAGCACTGGCTAATGAATCATTGTTAGTTGTAATAATTAGGACACGGAGGCGCTTAACCGTTTACTGAAAATTGCGGCTTCACGATCAGACGTGCAGCGATTCACTGAAATAGTTGGTATAGTTTTGATATATGACAAAATTATGATCAAGAGCTAATAATATATGTATTATTAGTTCTTAATATGATCATAGTATGACAGGTATTATGTAGTATGTAGGAACCATGACTGCTTGGTATCGCCATAGTTAAAAGGGACGGCAACGTTGCTCCAACACGCTTTACAAGTAAAATCATAGATGAGCTTCATTAACGAAACGCTAATCTAGCATTCTGTCTAGAAATAAGTGCTTACCATTTTTTAATATATGCATATAATTAAAGTGACCATCAGTACGTTTTAACAAACAGCTGACGTACTGAAATAAAATATCACTGACAAAAAGGGTATCACATTTCGTTAGTTAAACAAATCAAAATGGGCGACCCATTAGCAAAAGCAAATATTGCCGAACCAAAATAAAATAGAGAATATCACTTAAATAATAACCGCGTCACAACTGAATGTAGTAATGCGTGTTAATGAACGCATCGCAAATTCATTGCAAGAGTGTAAGATCGACTTATTTATTAAAAAAACGTTCTGAAGCACTTTACACCTATTTCATTTATGGTGAGAGACTTGGGGTGGTCTTAGCTCTCTGCGACGGGTTACAAAGAAAGTCTTCTACTGTACAATTGTTATAGATTATTATATCTATCATCATTCAGTCACCGTAGTGAAATTAGAGAGACCTATTCAGAGATCAGGATCGATGACGTATATTGCTGTACATTGTGTCAATGTCCCGGTCGTCCGAGATGGACTGTTTTGTGAATCATGAAAGATAACAAATTCACTGCTATTTTAATTATCTGCACGCATTTTCCTCGAGCGAGACATAGGCCTATGTCATTTTATTAATGACACATAGGATGTATATATATATATATATATATATATGCTAAAAGATTATATACACGGGAACATTATTATGGTGGGGGTCGGGTCATTTATTAAGTTACGTATGTTGACTGTTGAGCGGATATCATAACGGCCTATATTTTAGTATACATATTTTATACATAATATAGTATATTGATGAATTCAACACTCTGTATTACAATCTACACGAGTTACTTCTATAATGACGCCTCATACCGAAAGAGCAAATAGACGGACACTATATACCTAACTTTGTTACTGGTTTAATTGCGTATCATGTGTATGGTAAAGTAGGGTCGGTACTGTACGGTACGATAGGGCATTACAAGTAGACCTATCAGGAGTGTAAAATAATAGACTATTATATTCTATAATATATACTATAATAGACATGTATATATATATATAGATATATAGATATAGATATGTATGGTATAGACTATAATAGTCTATTATTATACACTCCACATAGTTCATATGCATGTAGCGCCATCTATTGAGCAGTGTAGCATCAACATGAATGCAAACGAAATGAAAACGAAATGCCCAACGTGTATGTTTACGTAATAATAATGGGGGAGCAATTGAAAAGTTATAGCGCAACATTCGTAGTGAAGACATGCTTCATATCGAGCAGATTGTTAGGTAATAAATTAAGAACGGAATTGTCGTGCTCTTTGCTGCTAGGTGCAATAAATGAGAATTATAGGAATGACAATTCAACTCCATAATGAATTCCATGATGTCAAAATTGCTACCATAATTATTTTCTGTCGCTCAGAACGTTCAACTATATGTTAGAATTACTAGCCTTAGATTGCTTTATACACAGCACCAGTAAATAATACTTACATCATTGAATCTTGCATTTGAACTAGAACCTTATTATATAGCATACGTTTCTGTATTCCAAACTGGCTGCTCAATCTTTCTATATTGTATTCATAGGCCTAAATATATCGTTTATAATAGCAAAGCTTAGGACTCCGTGCCCAAAAATAACTTCAGAAATATATTATAAACGCTCTGGATGTGAAGTTTTCAAAAAGCAAGACAGACGGTGCGCCGCGGTTTCAGTAAGAAATATCGACTTAAAGGCTAAAAGCACTAGCCGTCTAGTAGCGTTCGGGAGAGCAGAGTTAGCAACGTACACGCTTTCGTACACCGTCTGTGCTGAATCTTGGACTTTTCAGACTTAAAGTCTATGGTGGTCGAGGCATCGACAATACAGATAATGAGCTAAGGTCAACGAAACTGTCAATCAAGGGCACTTACTAGCCTGTACATTTACTGCCCTCAAAACAGTTGTAGCCCGGGGGGCACTCCCTACCAAATAGGGTAGGTATGTGCCACTTGAGAGATGGAATTGGGGGGCTCCGGTACTAACGCAGCACATCAAAATGGGGGGCTCCGGAACGTGCGGAAAAAAGTAGAACATTTGCGCAGGGACGGGAAATATGTGAAACGGAGGGTCTCCGGAAATATGTGAAAAGGAGGGTCTCCGGTGCGGAAAAAGTAGGATCTATGCTCCGGGACAGGAAATATGTGAAAAGGAGGGTATCCGGTGCGGAAAAAAGTAGGACCTATTCGTAAACTCATGATCGACAGAGGGCGCTGAATTACTCTGGTTATTGTTATACGGGGCGCTGGTTTATGAAAGCAAACGGATAACGCAACTAACATACTTGCTTTCGCAGCCGAATCCTGCTTAAACCATGCTATGGTACTTGACTTCGCAAATATGATTTCATATTCAGACAAGGTGCAAAAGGTGACAACGTACCTACGTGCCCGCGTGCGCGCATGTACAACGAAACACCATAATCGGTTACAAAATTGCCAAGCGCAATTCAAGGCATTCTACAATAAAGACAAGACTTAGTGAAGTCAACGTCTGATACTGCTGTGTAGCCTGCGGCTAGGTGAACCTTAAACATAGAAGCAGTACGGCGATACTATATGCATGAACGTATTCG